GGAAGGATGAGTTCTGGACTTCTGGACTTTGCAACCAACTTCCCTAAGTTGGAGCAGTTTGAAGGCGTGGGCTTCCGTAGGTGGCAGAAGAAGATGAAGTTCCTCCTTGCGGCTCTGAACGTGGCATACGTACTAAGTACCCCAAAGCCGGAAGAACGGGAGGATGAGACTCTTGAGGCTACTTGCCGGAGACTCAAATGGGAGAATGATGACCTTGCTTGCCGCGGCCATATTCTGAACGGTATGTCTGACACCCTCTTTGATATTTATCAGTATGAGGAATCCTCAAAGGACCTCTGGGATGTACTTGAAGCAAAGTACATATCTGAGGATGCCTCCAGTAAGAAATTCCTGGTAAGTGAATTCAATGATTATAAAATGGTGGACAATCGTCCGGTCATGGAACAATTCCATGAGATTGTCAGGATACTTGGGCAAATGAGGCAACATGATATGCATATGGATGATTCCATTGCCATAGCCAGCATCATTGATAAGTTGCCCCCTTCCTGGAAAAAGGTACAACGTACCTTAAAGCATAAAAAGGAAGCTCTTACCATGGAACAGTTGGGGGTTGACCTTCGGGTTGAGGAGGGAATCAGACTGCAAGAAAGTAAGAATGCTGGTGGTGTAAAGGTCACCGGGGCTTCAGGTTCTGTCATCAACTATGTTGATGAAGGCAAATCAAGTGGGAACCGTAAAGGAAAAAGGGAAGCCAGGAAAGGCCACAAATTCTTCAAAGTTTAAGAAGAAAGGAAAAGGAAAAGGAAAGGCATCTGTATCATGCTGGGTGTGCAACGGTCCACACTTTAAAAAAGACTGTGAAGTCTGGAAGAAAAGAAAGGCACAAATGGAAGGTAAAAATTCTGGTGATCATGGCCAGGGAAGTGGCCAATGGAAACAAGGTAAAATAATTAATCTTGTTTCTGATAGTACTGAAAATTTCATTGATATGATATCTGAAATTTGTGTCATGCAGACTGATGACTCATGGTGGGTTGACACTGGGGCAACCAGACATGTCTGCAAGGATATAAATCTTTATAAGATTTATAAAAGTCTGAATGATGGTCCAAGCCTGTACATGGGAAATGATTCCATGGTGAAAGTCAAAGGCATTGGACAAGTTGAGTTGTTGCTTACTTCAGGAAAGAAGTTGACACTCACAGATGTATATCATGCCCCAGATGTTAGAAAAAATTTAGTTTCTGGCATTGTATTAAACAAGTGTGGTTTTAAACTTGTCTTTGAAGCAGACAGATTTATTTTATCCAAGGCCGGTATCTTTGTAGGCCAAGGATTTCTGTCTAACAATATGTTTAAGTTGAATATTAATAATATTGTTGGTTCTGTGTATTCAGTTTGTACATCTTCATTATGGCATTTTCGTTTATGTCATGTAAACTATAAACGTGTATGTGAGATGGCTAAAGATGGATTAATTCCATCCTTTGATCTGAATATGGAACAATGCAGTGCATGCATGTTGAATAAAATAACTAGGAATCCTTTTCCTAGTATAAAAAGGAATTCAATTTTACTTGAATTAATTCACAGTGACTTGTGTGATTTTCATAGCACCCCATCTTTGGGAAATAAAAAATATATAGTCACATTCATTGATGACTATTCAAGACTCTGCTATGTGTACCTCCTGCATTCTAAGGATGAAGCCTTAGAAAAATTTAAAATATTTAAATTGGAGGTGGAATTGCAAACTAGTCAGTTAGTAAAAATATTACGTACTGACAGAGGTGGTGAATATTATGACCCATTATTTTTCCAATCTGTTGGTATCATTCATGAGACCACAGCTCCTTATACACCACAACAAAATGGTGTAGCAGAAAGGAAAAATAGAGTACTCAAAGAAATGGTAAACTGCATGTTATCAGTTTCCGGTCTGAGTGAAGGTTTCTGGGGAGAAGCCATGCTAACTGCATGTTATATTCTCAACAGAGTTCCTAATAAAAGAAATAGGGTAACTCCATATGAACTTTGGCACAAAAGAAAACCAAACTTAAATTATTTGAAAGTTTGGGGTTGCAGGGCCGTGGTACGGTTGCCGGAACCTAAACGGAAGGCTCTGGGAGAAAAAGGCATAGACTGTATTTTTATAGGATATGCAGAACACAGCAAAGCATACAGGTTCTATGTTATAGAACCAAATGACTTTATTTCGGTTCATACCGTAATAGAGTCCCGAGATGCTATTTTTGATGAAAATCGTTTTTCATCAATAAATAGAACTAAGGATTTAATTCCTAGTTCTAATGGGACCAAAGTTGATGATCAAATTCATGATCATGCAAGTTCACAGGAACCTGAGCTTAGAAAAAGTAAAAGAACAAGAAAAGGAAAAACATTTGGACCAGATTTCCAAATGTACTTGATAGAAGGATCAAGGGAGTCTACAGAGACTAAAAATCTATATTATTTTAATATAGAGGATGATCCTAATACTTTTGAGGAAGCCATGAATTCTCAAGATATTACTTTCTGGAAAGAAGCAATAAATGATGAGATGGATTCTATAATGGGGAATAATACGTGGATTTTAACTAATCCACCGAATGGTTGTAAACCAATAGGCTGCAAGTGGATTTTCAAAAAGAAAATGAAAGTTGATGGTACCATTGATAAATTTAAAGCCAGACTTGTCGCACAGGGCTTTAAGCAGAAAGAAGGAGTTGACTTCTTTGACACTTATGCTCCAGTAGCAAGAATTGCTACTATTAGATTGTTAATTGCCATTTCGGCTATACACAATCTAGTGGTTCACCAAATGGATGTTAAGACTGCATTTTTAAATGGTGAATTGGAGGAGGAGGTTTACATGAAGCAACCAGAAGGTTTCGTGGTTGCAGGCCAAGAAAATAAAGTTTGCAAATTGATTAAGTCACTTTATGGCTTAAAACAAGCCCCTAAGCAATGGCATGATCGGTTTGATCAAGTGGTGCTAGCTAATGGGTACAGAATAAATCAGTCAGATAAATGCATCTACAGCAAATTTAATAACCATGGACAAGGGGTTATTATTTGCTTATATGTAGATGACATGTTGATTTTTGGTACTGATTTGGAAAAAGTTAAGGAAACTAAGGATTTTCTTAGTTCCAGTTTCTCCATGAAAGATTTAGGAGAAGCAGAAGTTATTCTTGGAATAAGAATAATTAAACTTCAGGATGGTGTAAGTTTAACACAATCTCATTACATTGAGAAAGTGTTAAAAAGATTTAATCACTTTAGTGGTTCCCCAGTTTCTACTCCAATGGATCCTTCATTGAAGTTAATTCCTAATGAAAGTGATCCGGTCTTACAATTGGAGTATTCTAAAGTGATAGGATGCCTTATGTATGCAATGACCAGTACTCGGCCTGATATTGCTTTTGCAGTAGGGAAACTGAGTAGATACACTAGTAATCCTAGTGCAGTACATTGGATGGCATTAAAAAGAATTTTAAAATATCTGAATAAAACCATTAATTATGGTTTAAAATATTCAAAAGATATTTCCATCCTTGAAGGATATTCTGATGCCAGTTGGATATCTAATCAGGAAGATTATTCCTCAACTAGTGGATGGGTATTTCTGCTTGGAGGAGGTGCTATCTCCCGGGCTTCTAAAAAGCAGAGTTGTATTTCAGACTCAACTATGGCATCTGAATTTATTGCATTGGCAGCAGCATGCAAAGAAGCTGATTGGCTAAGGAATTTAATTCTTGAAATTCCAGTTTGGCCAAAACCGATGTCACCTGTTTTAGTACATTGTGACAGTGCTACTACACTGGCCAAAGCATATAACAGTGTTTATAATGGCAAGTCAAGACACATAGGCTTGCGACATAGCTATGTGAAAGAGCTCTTAAGTAATGGTGTTGTAGCACTAGACTTTGTACGGTCCCGGTTCAATCTAGCGGATCCGTTTACAAAAGCCTTGGCAAGGGACATGGTTTTAAAGACATCGGAAGGGATAGGTTTGAAACCCGTTGATAGTCAAGAGGTGAAGGAAAGCTCAACTCACGCCTAAGTTATCACGTTAGGCCTTGAGTTCAATGTAGATGATTACTTCATTTATTGGCGGCAAGTACTATATTAAAAGGTACCCCTAAAGTAAGTACTTGGTCTGCATTGTAGTAGGGATGAGTTTAACTCTTAATTGATCTTTTGAAAAAATGCTTGGTGCAGGGCATGAAATAAAAGATCAACCTATGTGAGCATGAAGTGTGGCCGCTTCAACAAGTTTGGGTTTGGCTTGGAAATGCTTATGAATGGATACGGACACGGGGCCTTTAATAGTGTCAAGTTATTTTGAGTTGTAGTAACTGTAAAGCTTGTGTGTATTGTATCTACGTTTTTTCAAAGAGACTGCGTGATTCAAGGTTCGTCCATCACTGCAATCCGAATTAATGTAACGCATATAATACTATGTGAAAGTTCAATCTGTAAGACACTTTCATTTATGCATGAGTCTTTGGATCTATCTTGGTACAATATTAATTTTTACTATATAAATGGAGGAGGAATGTTAGAGATTTATATAGTAATGAGAGTTAATGGTTCAGATGAACTACCATGAAAAGTTTAAATAATATATTTTTTTTTTTTGAAAAGAGCCTGTGCGGCATTTATTCGAAATATGCTGAAATAGAGTCTGGCGGGTCTAAGTCCGCGTACATACTAGATAGGTGATTAGTTGCAGAAGAAGCTAATGTATGCGCTAAATAATTGTCTAGTCTAGGAACATAATGAATTAAGCAGTAATCAAAAGATGCCATACTAGTTTTGCAACTATCAATGGCATAGCCTAAATAAGAGCGCAATGAGTGTGTTGTAGACGAAAGATATTGTTGGAGCACCAAACAATCTGTGTAGAGGTCTATATCTGTTTCTTCTCGGTGTCTGAGCCATGACAAAGCTTCTTTGCATGCGAAAGCCTCCGCCATTAAGGGCGAAAAACAGTGTATGATAGGGGTGGTCATCGCCGACACATAGCATCCTCATGAATCCAATATAATAGCCCCCATTGCTGCCTTGTTTGTTGTTGGATCGTACGTCGCATCGAAATAACATTGATTCCTCCCGTTCTGCGTAGTATTGTGTTGGACGGTTGCTGAAAATTCCCGTGATAATGGCAGTGTTTCGGCCTCCCCTTCTCCCATAATTGCTGCGCCTTCCCTCGGGCAGTAGACTGCCGCAACTGGCGGTAAAATAGCAGCCGGTATCGTGGTGATGGCTTGCGGACTTCTTCGAGCGGGATGTGCCTCTTTCCATGCATTGACGGATGACAACGCCATTGCTATCACGTTTTGGGGCCTGGGCAACTTTGCTTCCCATACAGCTCCATTTCTCGTTCGCCATATGAAATACAAGAGAGCCACTGCATAAATAATCCCATCATCATCTAAAATATTCAACAAATCATTAAACCAATCACTGAAAATATTTGTGGCACTATTGGGGATTGGAAGGTTGGATCGTGCCCAAATGTTCATCGTATAACCACAAGTGATCAAAGAATGCACAAGATTCTCATGCCCAACTCCACACATTGCACAAGTTGGATCAATATCAACTCTCTTTATAAGTAAATTCTCCATAGTAGGCAAAATATCATTTAGAGCTCTCCACAAGAATGTTTTCCATTTTGGGGGGGCTTTGAGGCTCCATAATTTTTTCCACTTATGAAAGTTACCCTCCGGTTGAGAATAGTTCCCTCTTACCACCTTGTATCCTTCTTTAACTGAATATTCCCCTTTTGGGTCGCCATACCAGTACCACATATCCTCATACTCAAGAGACACAGGTATTTTTAATATTTTCTCCACATCTTGGGCTATGAAAATATCCGCTAAAATTTCATGGTCCCAGGTTCCAGTCTGCTGGTCTATCAGTCCCTCCACTTTTGCCTGAGCCAACTGAGGCGGTTTTTCTGTTAAAATTCTTGGCTGGTTGTCATCATGTATCCACGGGTGGTCCCAAATCAAAGTTGATTTGCCATTCCCAATTCTGCGTCTTACTCCCCCACAAATTAACCCCTTAGCCGCCAAAATACTCCGCCAGCAGAAACTTGGATTATTTCCCAAGGCTGCTTCATAGAAGGAACTAGTAGGGTAATATCTAGCTTTATACACTCTTGAGACCAGTGATTGTGGTTGTGTCAGGAAGCGCCATGCCTGCTTACCTAACATTGCAAGGTTAAAGGCTCTCAATTCCTTAAACCCAAGTCCTCCAAATGTCTTTGGGATGCACATTTTATCCCAGGCCTTCCAATGGATGCCTTGTTCATTTCCTGACCTCCACCAGAACCGATTCATAGCTCTCTCAATGGCTGTACATAAATTCATAGGCAACAGAAATATGCTCATTGCAAAAGTGGGCATAGCTTGAGCCACACTTTTTAGTAGAACTTCCTTCCCCGCCTGTGATAAAAGCTTTTTGTTCCACGAACCAATTCCCTGCTTTATCTTATCCTCAATATATGAGAAAGCCTGTCTTCTATTCCTGCCCACAAAAAATGGAAGTCCCAAATATTTTCCAAAATTCTGGGCCTGTACAACTCCCAATATATCAGCAATCTCTTCCCGAACTTCCTCACTTGTATTTTTACTGAAACATATGTTTGATTTGTGATAATTAACCGCCTGTCCCGACATGGTTTCATAGGTTGTTAAACAACGCTTAATCGCTCCTGCTTCCTGATTATTAGCTTTGAAAAACAGCAGGCTATCACCCGCAAAAAACAAATGAGTAATAGAGGGAGCCGCCCTCGCAACTCTGCATCCATGTATATCCCCTTTGACCTCAGCTTGTTTCAACAATATTGAGAGACCCTCAGCACAAATAATGAACAGATAAGGTGATAAAGGATCACCTTGCCTTAAACCACGAGTCGGTGTTATTTGTTCAGTCTTTGATCCATTTATCAACACACTATATGACACAGTGGATACACACATCATTAGCAATTTGACCCACCTGCCATCAAAACCCAGTGCTTCCAACATCCGTTGCAAGAAAGACCATTCCATACGGTCGTAGGCTTTTGCCATATCTAACTTCAAAGCCCCCCAGCCAGCTAGTCCATATTGCTTTCTGTTCAGATAATGGCCCACCTCCGCCGCTACCAATATATTATCTGTAATAAGCCTTTCAGATATGAACGCACTCTGGGATTCAGAAATAATACTATCCATCACCGGTTTCATTCTGGCCGTTATCACTTTTGCCATAACTCTATAGACCACATTACTAAGCGCAATTGGCCTATAATCAGAAACCATTTCCGGGGTTTTCTTTTTCGGGATCAAGATAATATTCGTCTCATTTAAACCATCCGGTAGAGAACAATTATTCAGAGAATTCCTGATGAAAGTAGCAACATCAGATCCTACCACATCCCAAAAATTCTGGTAGAAACCAGGGTTCATCCCATCCGGACCCGGTGCCTTATCCGGATGAATTGAAAATAAAGCTGCTTTTATTTCCTCCACCTCAAACGGCCGCACTAGCTTCTCATTTTGTGTAGTAGTGATCCGGGGTTGTATACCCCCAAAGAAGTCCTCATCAATCATAGGTGTACTTGAATTAAAAATGTCACGATAGTAATTCAAGATAATACTTGTCATAGCTTCCCCCTCAATCCAATCCCCGCTATCATTCATAATCTTAGAAATGGTATTTTTTTTCTTTCGGTGAGAGGCATACCTGTGGTAAAATTTTGTGTTTGCGTCCGCATCCTTGAGCCAATGCTGTTTGGCTCTCTGCCTCCAGTATACATCCTCCTGCAGCTCAATCCGAGTCAGACACGCATCCAACCTCCTAAATTCGGTCAGGGATACCGAATCCGTACGTCCTCTGAGGCGCATCTGTTCCTTTCGTAGGGCAGCAATCTTCTCACCAAATTTATGGAAACGGTCTCCACCCCATCGTGTTAACCGAGTTCCACAAAAAGCTGTGCACTCCTGCAATCCCCTATCCCGTCCTTCCCCCCACGACTTCTCCACCACCTCCCTACAGCCCTCATCATGTAACCATGCCATCTCAAAGCGAAAGCCCCTACCCCGACCACTCCGCCCCCCCCCCCCCCCCCCCCCCCCCGGAGATTTAGAATCCCAAGGAAAAGCAAAGAGTGATCCGATTTTCGGGTCAATATGTTCTGTACACTTGCATCCTGTACCAATTCCCTCCAAGACTGCGTAGCCAACACCTTATCCAAGCGTTCCTCTATCCAATTCAAGGTACCCTTCCTCTTTTCCCAAGTGTAAGGATATCCTGACATTGGTAGTTGCGTTAAACCACACTCTTCAATAGTCTCTCCAAATCCCCGTAGCAAACTGTCCGGGTGTGGGTTCCCTCCCCGTTTCTCGTACTGATATAAGAGATCATTGAAATCTCCAATAATAACCCACGGCAGCTCAGACTTACCTGCCAAGGACCGAATTAAATCCCATGATTCCCTTCTCTGGGGGCGTTTCGGGAAGCCATAGAATCCAGTCATCCTCCATTTATCAAAACCTGGTATAGTCACCTCAATATCAATGTAGTTATTTGAATAGCCAATCAAATTTGCCATACTATTCGCCCTCCACAACATAGCCATCCCCCCACTTAAACCAGAATTGTCAACATTAAACAGGCCTTCAAAACCAAGTTTAACCCGAAGTCGTTCTGCATGATCTCGGTTAAACTTGGTTTCCATCAGAAATACAAAGTCGGGTTTCTTTCGGGACACTATGTCCTCAATCTCCCGAACTGTCCGTGGATTACCCAAGCCACGGCAGTTCCAACTCAGAGTACTCATTGGGTTGGGCGGGTCTGCACCGCAGCACCCGCCATCTGCAAGTTTTTTTATACTTCTGTCATTGTTACATCCTCCTCCACCACTCCACCCTCACTAACCCGCCCCTCCCTCACATCCCCCTCCACCGATACGGTCCCACCCATGGTTCCCGTCTCCACCCACACCCCCGGCACCACCTCACACCCAATCCCACCATCCGTTCTTCTCCGCTTGGGATCCACCCTAACCCCCTCCTCCTCTCCAGCCACCCCGTTCCCTCCCCCCAAACCCGGCAGTCCACTCCCGCCCTCACCTACCATCCGACTCCCCATACTGGCCAAAGCCGGCTCCTCACCCCTCACCCCTTGTTGTCCATTCCCTTCCCTCCCAAAACCGATTTCTCTCCTCCTTTGCTGCCCCAACTTGAACCACTTATCCCCCACCAATTTAGCTGGATTATTTCCACTCACCCTCATTGTTGCACCGTAAATATACTGATCGGGAGTCAACAACGAACGCCGCGCAGCCAAGCAAAATTTATCCGTGTGTCCCATTATACCACAAAAGAAGCAAAACATGTGTAGTCGCTCATACTTGAAGTTTATCCACGTCCACGACCCATCCCGCATGATCATCTTCATTCGGTGTTTCAGAGGCACAGTTACATCATGCGTAATACGAATTCTGTAATATGAAGTCCATGGTCTTTCAAAATTCCGTTCATCATACCGTATAAACACTCCGGCAAAATCCCCAATCCTTTCCAGAACCCTCACCGTTCGATAGCCCAAGGGGATATCAAAAACCTGGAGCCAGAAGTTTACCGTGTTCAAAACCACCTGCGTCGGGTCAACTCCATCATCCAGGACCTGACACAAAAAAGTTGTATTCTCAAACGCCCATGGGCCGTCCTCCAGCACCCGGCGCATATCGGCTTCATCAAAAAACGTAAAGAGATACAGATTTGGAAGAACATCCGTTATCTCTATCCCCATAAGAGGACGCCAAGCCGAGGCCATCACCCTCTTCATCACCTCCACCTTCAGCGTCCGGTCCATTAGGAATTTCCCAACCAGCGTCCACGTCTTCCGTTCCGGAGGCAGCGCCGGAATCTCATAAGCTTCGTCCTCGAACCGAACTCCCTCATCATCACCATCAAGATTGATATCTGCCGTGGCATCTACTAAATCGTGCACATCCATCGTCGTAACACAAGCAGCTTCCTCCGTCGCAACTCGTCGCAAGAAGCAGTGCGACGATAGTCCGTCGCACACCGTCGATACCGAAACCCTAGAAATCAGGGAGCACCACCGGCAAAACCCTAGAGTTCAGGGAGTAACATGTGCAGATTTCTTAATAGTTAATTTTTGAGTATGCTTAAATAATATTTGGAGTTGTGGAGTTATAAATATTATTTTAGTTTGGTAGAAAGTAAGTTGGGAAATATGTTTTTGGCTATATGAAGTTTCGGCCAAATGGAACCGTTCGGCCAAATGAAACCTTTCGGCATTTTGACATCTTTCGGCCAAGTGGAGATAACGAAAGTGAACTTTCATTTAAATGAAATTTCACTTTCGGCATCGTAAGTTCACTTTGGCTTGTGTTGAATCATGCATGCTAGTAATATATATATATTATCTTGTTTCGGCCTTAATGAAAGTAACGAAATATTGCTTTCATTTTGTGTAGTTTATGGCTGCTGCATGCATGTCTTTATTATAATATATATTATTAGTTTATTTATTTTGCATATTAATATGCAATGAATAATAAATAAATATAATATACATATTATATTGTATGCAGTGCATGAACCTATGAAGGTCCGTATGATATGAATATATATAATATTCAATTATATATTTCCCATGCTTGATATATCAGATAAGATATATCTTATGGAAGTTAAGTTTTAAATTTAAATAATTAACTTCCATGTAACTTCTCCAAACTGCTGTATTTACATCTATAAATACTTTGGAGAAATGTCTGAAAAATACACATGCAATAAACTTGCATTAAACTGAGATATTTCACAGTACTGCATTTGAACAGGAAGTTCTTAAACAAGCAACTTAAGAATTTCATCATCTTCTTGTATCCCATAAGATTAAATCTTGAACCTTGTTGCTTTATATAAGGGAGATTTAAAGCTTATAGGAAAGTGATCACACGCCTGAAGATCCTGTTTCCTCACTTCCCTATCATCAAACACTCCATTTTTATAACAGTATCTAATTAAGATCCTGTTTCCTCACTTCCCTATCATCAAACACTCCATTTTTATAACAGTATCTAATTAAAAAAAGATGGCGCATTACTGGGTGACTAAGAACGATAAATGTTGAGTTTTCTAGCTTTCTAAAAATTAATAGAACGAGACTAAATAGTCTTCTTTCATATACTTTCTCAACCTACTGAAACACAAAGAACCAATAACGCCTCCACTGAAGCTTGAACTCACAATCTTCCAAATAGAAGTCCAACCCGAATACCATTAGACCACATAGTCTTGGTCAATAGATAAATAGTCAATTGTTCTTATATTTTTTTTCAAAATACGTTCATTTATGTTTTACTCACCACCTACCTACCCTCAAAACCATCATCTATCCTACTAAAGCACAAAGAGTCAATATCACCTCCACTAAGACTTGAACCCACAACCTTCCATATGGGAGAACAACTCGAGTGCCATCCATGCACAAGGTGCTTGGCCATTATATTTATTACTTAAAAAATTATTTGACATGATCTCTCATAGATAATTTAAATGCAATTAAGAATCCACGGTCATGTGATCTCACTCAAATTTTGAAGTATTGAATTCAAATTGACTAAATTTTTTTCAAAAGTGAATTCTTTTAAACAAAAAATAATAATAAAAAGAAAAAAAGCTAAACCTAAAAATGATTTGGCATTTGCAAGATTGCATAAATTGTAATCTTGCAAATTTCTTTTCGATGGCTCCGTTACTTTATTTTTTAAAAAATTCATAAATGTCTATTGCGACAACAACTTTAATTTTGTTGTTGTTTTTTATTTATTTTTTTTTTATAAATAATATATAACATGAAAGAAGATCCATGTAGATATTGAATGTAGATTGGAATTATATGAATGCAAGAAATAGTAAATTGGAAATGTAGTCATTTAATTGCTTCTTTTTTTTTTTGGTGGTGCTATTTAAGGTGTTTCAATGAACTTTTATTTATTTATTTTTTAATTTATTATTTAAAAGTTCAATTTCACTATTTGGCCAAAATCAAGGGTTAATTTGACCCTTATCTCTTGAATATTGTAATTTCGGTTTTCGTGTTAAATATTGCGACTAGATAATATTTCAGTATGATTTTGTTATAGATCAGTTACTTTTGAATCCCTTCAGAAACTTCTTGAAATTCTCAGTCAGCAAGGCTCGAGATTCATCATCTAAGTCCACAGCGTCAGAATCTTAATCAGCATCTGTGATGAATGCCACATATTTGCCTTTTCTGCCTGAACTAGGGTTATCATTAGACAGCACTTAAAGTTCGTAAGTGTGTAGACTACCCATTAGTTCACCAACACTCTTCTTTTCCCAACCTCTTGATTCTCTTGAATTGCTGTAACCTTCATACGAAACCTCTTGGGCAGTGAGCAAAGAACTTTCTTGACCACCCTTTCTTTAGAGAATGGTTCACCAAGAATGAACCGTTTGAATTCCGAAAGAACCCTACTATGGAAATCTGAGATATTCTCGTCCTCATTCATCTTCAGGGCTTCGAATTCCGAAAGAACCATTTGTAATTTTGATTGCTTTACATCATTGATTCCTTCATATTGAGTTTGCAAGATCTCCCACGCCTTCGTATCGAGTTTGCATGGTCTACTTCCGATTGAAATAGGTAGGACACTCAGATTGTTTGTGGCCATAACCTTCACATTCATAACAATGGATTCCTTTGCTTGAACTCTTACCATCACTTAATGAAGAATTTTTAGAGTGTCTAGTGCGTGAAGACAGGCAGAAACTAGATATTGATCTATGAGATTTATAGCGTCGACAATTAGTGATGTGAGTCTAATCATGCATATTTCTAATATTAGTTTGATTATATTTGTTAGGCTCGCTTAGGTTCATAGTTTTGGTAATTTAATTGCATAATCCTTTGTTTTATCATTCAGTTATGGTTTACACTTTTTTTGAATCTTTGAGGTGAGTTCAATTGTGCATATTTTTAGTATTGATTTAATTATATTTGTTAGACGCGTCAAAATATTCCAGAATGCATCCGAGAATTTGAAGACACGGGCTCGACGCGTCGAGTCCGATAGGTTTGCTAGGCTGATTCGTATGCCCAAGACGCGGTTTCGGCCCGTTTTCGCACAGAATTCTCCTATTTCCTCCAGGATTGGTTCAAGCTATAAAATCCCGCCTTTTCCAGCCCGAATATTCAAGCAGAGCTCTTTGGAGACAAGAAAGAGAAAAATCAAGAGCCACAAGTTGTCTTGGGAAGCAAGAAGAAAGCTAGGGAGATTTGGAAAAATCTCCAGGTTCATTCTTGTACTCGTTTAGATAATTTGTAATTTCTTTATAGTACTTTTCTATGTATAATATAGCAATGCTTGGCTAAATTCTATTAGAGATTCTTGGGTAAAAGTGTTTATGAACCTATGTGCCTGTGCTCTCAGATTCTTTAATATATTATTATTTGGGTTTTAAACTTGTGTTGCAATTGAGTTTATTATTATTGTTGTTGCTAGTATTTTAGGGCCTGGATTACTTGTTTCATTGCTTTGTTTATGTCATAAAGGGAGTTAGGCATTATTGAGAGTACACAAAATTGCACTTGACTTTTGCACCTTGGGAGAGAGCATAAATGTTAGGGAGTTTAATTCTTGATTATTGCACATCCGGAGATGATAATAGTTAGGAATTAATTAATAATGGAGAAAATTTCAATTTTGGTCACATGACTATAGGGGCATTGTTAATTTCAGCACCTGACTTTCAAAAGTGTCAATTTAGTACCTTGACTATGTAATTTTTTTCAATTTTGGTCACTCCGCCCAAATTGACGGTCAAATTTGGCTAGAAAATTTTAATCAAACATTTAGTCTATAATATGACTTTCAAAAGTGTCAATTTAGTACCTTGACTATGTAATTTTTTTCAATTTTGGTCACTCCGCCCAAATTGACGGTCAAATTTGGCTGGAAAATTTTAATCAAACATTTAGTCTATAATATGAGGGGCAAAATCATCTTTTGATCCTTTCTAGACTAAATGCTGGATTAAATTTTTCCAGCCAAATTTGACCGTCAATTTGGCCGGAGTGACCAAAATTGACAAAAATTACATAGTCAAGGTACTAAATTAACACTTTTAAAACTCAGGTGTTGAAATTAACAATGCCCCTATAGTCATGTGACAAAAATTGAAATTTTCTCATTAAGAATGCTTGTTCTTATTATTATTGGGTGTTTATATCACGGGAGTGAATATTCACTAGTGTTAGAGATTACGTGAGTAACTTTATACCATCTTTGCATTCTCACACTAGTTTAAACACATATTTAATATTGCACTTAAGATAGACACTTGGGGATTAAACACTTGAATCCCACAAATCTCATTCTCTCTCTAATGTTTTCAAAACCCCGATATTTTGCTTTGATTTATTTATTTATATATTGCAAACCATCCATCATAATCATTAGGATTAGCTTCATAAGAATTGGTTAGTAGCTAGTGCTTAATCCCCCACTTCCATGTGGATCGATTACCCGATATTCCGGGTATTATTTGTTTGAAAATATACTACAATTCAATTAACAAATTAAACTCGATCTTCTCTTTCTCTTAATATGATTTTTCTTTTGTTTAGATATTAAAGATCGTTCTTTGGGATGTCGATTTTACCCCTAAAATATAAAATTCAGCAACATTGCACCGTCAATTTGGCCGAAAGAACTAAAACTGATAAAAATAATAAAGTTAGGCATCAAAATTGAAAATATTTAAAATTGTGCACCAAAAGTGATAAGACCTTCAAAGTCATGGGACCAAAAGTGAAATTAATTTTTTGTAATAGCTTATTGCTCCAAAATGCTAAAATTCAAAGCGTTTTCGTTCAACATTTTGAGAAAAATAAATTATATTTTTAAAGGTCATTTTACATGTAATCAGCTATCAATTAACAGCTAATTTACCAAACATCTTTCTACAACAAGCTAATTTATAAAATCTAATCAGATGGTTCATATTTCTTAATCAGAAGGAAATAACTAAATGATGTTTAGTGTGTTAAAAATGAATATTAATGATGCATGAGGTTCTCAGTCTAAGAATCTAGCATAGATAAATTTGAATAAGCAATCAACCACTCTATCTCAACCCACAAACTGATACATGAGCATGCTATCCTTCGTCAATCTGAAAAGACTTCAAACTAAGCCAGTAATCTCACATTATATAACGTCTGTGGCATACAAAATATGGCCATTATAGCTGCATGATTGGTAATATATTTGACAGTTTCTGGACCTGGAATAATGTAATTAAATGCTAAGACTTTCAGAAACTATTTCCATATTTATAAGTTCTCTGGGTTCAAGAAAGACCAGCCAAGGGTATCATACAGGGGAACTAAAACATTTGAGGGTTAAGCTTGGCCTTTGGTGCCCGGCCAAACAACTTCTTAACTTCAAAGAATTTCTTAGTACACTCAACAGGGAGTTAGATTCTCCGACCATGATCTCTTCCACTTGATCGCCGGCCTTTGGAATTTTTGCAGGCATGGCATGTTGGTTACTCTTTTTACTCATTTTTTGATTTCTATTATTTCTCATTACACACTCAAGTTCATGAGAGCTGTTTCTTTTATATAATTTGTTAACATATATATGGGCCACATAATTTGTTCAATTTGGCACTCAAATAGCACGTATGATGCACAAAATAGATATAGAGAAATGAAATGCAACAAATAGATATTGTATGTGACAGTGGGTTAATAAAAAATCTAGTATCCACAAAAAAAAAAAATAAAATAAAACAAACAAGATGGCACAAGCACATCATTCTCATGGTTAATTGCTTTCTTAGAGTTAAGATTCTCGACTGCCGCCTTGAATTTACTACTCATTTTTTGTTTTTTGTTTTTTTTTTTTTTGTTCCCCACTACTGACTCATATTCGTAAGAGATGTTTCTTTCATAAATTTTGTAAAACTACAATTTTTCTTATAATTTTTTTTTCAAAATATATACATTTGTGTTCTACCCGCTACCTTCCACCTTGAAAACATCATCATTTAGCTAATGGAATTTCTAAATTTGCAATTTATTTGAATTTAAGACATTTAATATTTAACCTTTACTAGAGATAATCTTATATGAACAATTTGAATTCAGTTAAGAATCTAGGGCCACATGATCTCAGTTCAAATTTACTAAATTTGGTTCAAAGTATTGTCATAATATAATACCTCTAATATTCTTCACATATATTTATTCACAACACTCTCCCATGGATATTACTATCTCATGTTCACGCCTCGTTAAAAAGCACACTAGAAAACCCCAGTGAGAAAAACCTAGTTGGGGAGAAGAGAACTTGAATTATGTATGTTAAATTGTTAATGAGTTGTCTCGTTAAAAATATTCAATTAAAAAAATACTATCAAAGCTCAATCAAAGGAAAAACATTACATCAGTTGGTCTTCAATACCCAATCTTCAGGGTTGATCTAACCAAATGTCCTTCCCACTGGAGATAAAAATCTTCAAACCTACACTGCTTTAGTCTACGTACCACGAACATGAGGCAGTAACATAGTTTGAAGCCTTTGATGTAAGTCATTGATCTAAACTCACAAGAAGGAGAAGAAAGGACCATCATATCATTCCCAAGGTATAATGCTTTCTTAGAGTAAAGGACATCAATAACTATCTTGGAGTTCTTTAAAACCCATTTGAGGGTTAAGCTTGGCCTTTGGTGATCGAGCAACTTCTTCAGTTCAAAGATTTTTTTTTAGCACACTTTCACTAGTACAAAACTGCACATACGCGACCATTGTGAAAGAAATTACGCGACCATTGTGAAAGAAATTACGCGACCATTGTACAATGGTTGCCTATGAGAGGCTCGCGGAAAGCCATGAACTTTACGCGACCATTTTAAAATGGTCGCGCATTGTTAGTAATACGCGACCATTCTTGACAAAGAACGGTCGCGTATTGTTTCTTTTATTTTTTTATTCATATGTAATACGCGACCATTCTTGGATAGGAATGGTCGCGTATTGTTTTTATTTATTTTTAAATAAACTTTCTGCGACCATTCTTTGTATAAGAATGGTCGCGGATACTGTTTTTAAAATAATAAAAAAAAATTAAAACTATATTTATTTTAAAAATAATTTTTAATAAATTAATTAATTTAAAAACTCCCTAAATTTCTATTTAAAATCCTATACAAAATCTAATGTGCTATTTGATAAAAAGCATAGAATTCCAATCAGTGTATAACAAGAGCTGCAGCATTATCTAGCATTCTAGCTAATGAGTCATTAAAGTGTTCTATGCAAAAAATGCAGAAATAAGAGATGTATATCATAATTAATCACTTGCCCAAATCAAAAATTTTTTCATTTATAAAACCCAAATCAAATGTCTCTGAAGTTCATTTTAAAATAAAATCAAGATTTTGAACTCTGAAGAACAAAGTTATTGAACAAAAATATCAACCCGCATACTGGAGGAATACATGAAAACCCACACTATTCACCATTCAAGCTCAAAAAAGCTAAAAATGTTTAGTAACAACAAAGAAAATAAACACAAGAATAGCTTGTATTGAAGTATTAACGGCACTAAATACGAATAATATTGGAAACACCTGAACGGAGACGGTCGAATCTTCCCATATGTTATATTAATTCCAAAAAGTGGAATAAAGTGGAATAATTACCATCCCATATATAATCACCCCCACCCCATCACTATAGAAAATCAAGATTTACCAAGAAAGTTAAAAAGACAGTAAAGTAAACTACAGAGAAATTGGTTCTAATCTATTTCATTTAGTGCTGTATATGGTGGGAATGGCAGTTGTTGAACCAACCTTTTCTGAGAGCTTGGCTGGCAGAAACAAAAGGAGACAGCAGAGCCCAAGAGGAAGCCAAGATCAGTAATCAGCTTCCCCAGATTGCTTTGCTCCAGCAGATCCTTAAAGTCCAGGCCGCCCGCAAAATCCAGATTCCGGTGCCTAAGGATTGATTCATCCAGTTCTAGTGGTGGCTCGAGCCCGGAGAAATCAAGCCCTGTTCAAATGCCGGGTGCATCTCCTCATTTCATGAAGGGCACTGCCTGCTATGATGCAAAGAAGGAAAGTTTTCAGGTAAGTTTGAGCTTTTGACTCTTTTTTTTCTTTTTTTTTTTTTTTTTTTTTTTTTTTTTTTGGTGATAAGGTTGATGACAATGTATTGAATCTAACATGATTGTTTAATTCCAAGATGTCATGATCAATGATAATATATATAAATGGGGAATTGAACAGCAGGTATGTCAAGAAAAAATTAATAACTGAATAACTTGTGGCAGACTCGAAAACATTTTACCTCTTGAGCTGTATAGCAGGATGAAGAAATCTTGTGTTGTGGCAATTTGCTTGTAGTAAAATTTTGGTTTTTATGTCGTGTCAGGGAGGGATTGAATGCGATGATGTGAAGTCTGTTGATTCTTCAATATCGGTGAAGCATGACAGCAAAAGCAAGAACTTGAAAGGAGTCAGAAAGGTGATTTTAAAAGTTTTGGAAGCACAAGATCATTCAGGAGGGGGAGATCAAGGATCATGAAGCCAACTGTAAATCACTCACCTTGTTCAGTAGAGACATCGGAGGATTCCTCGCTTAATCAGATGAAGGCGGCGAGCTGCTCTGAAAGGAGGAAGGGCCATTTCCTCCGGGCAAGTCCTGGAGGTTCTGAATCTAGTTTCGATAGCAGTGATCAGAGTTCTTAGTCAAACTTGGCTGCTTCTTCTAGTGTGAAATCTTTTCAGACTTTGATGAGGAGTTTTAGCTTGAGATCTTTGAGGGTTAGTTTCAAATCCAGGAGGCGTTCTGGGAAGTTTCTTCCCGAGGCCAAAGCTGTGGATACAGCAACATGCTCTTCTACCATTAAGAACTCCAAGTTCCCTGAAAAGGTCGAGCTGCTACCCGGGCAAGCTGAATCGGAAAGAATTTCAGTGTATCGAGTTTGTTCATATCATCATTGTTCTCTTAATGGACATTCTCATGATTCACCATCAATCCCACCATAAAAAAAAAAAACAAATAAAACTTCTATGCATTATGATCTTATAATTGGAGACTTCAGTAAGTAATGAAATCAATAATTTTTATAGGATTTGCCATAAGGTGTGCTATGATCAAGCAGAGATCTTTTATTCATTTTTTGTTTTTCAGAATCACTAAAGGTCTCTCAAAATGATTAGTTGAAAGCTGCTACTAAAATTATTATTCATCCAAAAGTTACAATCTGCCAAAGATTGTGCGTTCTCCAGAATCACAAAAACTCTCTCAATCTTTTCTTTTTATACAAGTCAATAACTTATTAATTATTACTCCGCACTTGAAACTAGACTTCCCACAACATATTATTGCTTAATTCTTGTGTACCTTTGTGTAATGTTTTCTATAAATTTCCATTAAATCCCCAGCATTCGTATATATTGACATAAATAGAAAATACATATGCTACTAAAGTTTTGTACTTTTTCATACAAAAAGTATGTTCTTATATTACCAATAAATCTAACACATAACATATCTCCATTTACTTTGTGTTTAAGAAAGTACCAAAAGTGGATGAATACACAACCAAGATTGAAAGCTCTTGATATGTATGAAACCGGATGTTGTAAGATAAAATGCAGCCCTAAGAGAATCTGCACCAGTCTCAATTGTATTGCAAGATGATGAAGTGTTTGATCACCAAATAACTCCATTCAGTAAAATCTAATCTGTAATCTGACTCACCTGATCGTGAAGAAAAACAAATGTGCTAGTTAAACATTAAAGAATAAGGAAGGATCTCAATAACATGCCATTCACATTTGACCTCTCAAATTCAACATAAATAACATTTTGACAACAAACTCAAATATATAAGCACCTGCACCAGCGTGCCCCAGCTAAGGTAGATATCACTCCATCAATAGGCATGGCCTGTATTTCAAATACAGCACAGAAGATCCGTATAAAATCTTAATCCTAAGGTAAGAAACATCTTCCCTAATCAATTAATTCCATCAGACATTTGCGATAATTATTTGCCCCATAAAAATAGCTAAGGTGTTGTAAATTACTCATACTTCTAGTATCAAGTAAACAGAAACAAGTAACATAGTTTTCCCTTCTTGTGCCAAAGATATCAACTACAATACGACATATAATTGAAGATACTTACTTAGAACCACAGACATTAATGTATAAGGGAACAAATTAAAGCAAGCAAATTACCTGCATGGCAGTAGTAAACTCATTGAGCCCAAACCTATACTCACCAAGCATAGAAGAGGAGTAAGATTGAGTGATAAACTAGGCAGAAATTCATAATTTCTTCCCATCCAGATTAGAAACAATTTATTTAAGTTGGATGCCAAAAACTATATAAAACATAGAACACATCACGCTAGGAAAACTGCTAATAATAATCAACTTTTAAAAACTCCATTTAATAGATAGCATTGTAGCCCTAAGGAAGACTAGAACATGAAAGCATAGCTTCTTTTCAAAAGGATTTGGGGTCAAAACCATTTCTGAAGTTATTGTATTCATACACTGGTAGATTAATATGGGATATTGTATTCATGCTTTAGGTTGTCTGTCCTCTTTAGATAATCAAATATCTAATGTACCAATTAAAATTCTCAACAACATAGATGTTTTGATCATTTTCATAAGTAAAATACCAGGACTATTGCTAGATGTATGTCCTCCTTAGGCCCAAGCATCTGATCAGCTACTGCTGCAGCAGCAACAGCTCATGTAGCAGATATTCCATTAAACTACTGCAATCTAGTGATGAAAATTAAAGAGCCTATTGGCAATGTTACATGTATCTGCTTATTAAAGATCTAATGTACCAATTAAAGAAATGATAAATATACAAAACCATAAATATTTTAGAGCTAAATTAATTCTTGATTCCACTACTATGAGGTAGCTTACTCCATTTTTGGTGTCCTTTATTCCTTGATCTGCTTGAATTGGGCGCATAAGACCTAAAATCCCGTTGAAACCACGAACTAACTTGGCTTGAAGAAGAATTATGTTCATCAGACTCATGATGCAAGTTCTGAATTCTGAAACACTAGGAAACAAACATTAGAAATATTTAACCAAATAAAGCAATGCAATCATTCAAGCCAACTTGTCATGGAACGAAATTAATGTTATTATAACTAACATATTAATAATTCATGCCACGCACACATATAAAAATAAATAGAATAAAAATATTTAAAATTCTGCTATAGAAGACCAAATGACACCATAGGTAGTGCATAAAGGAGGTTAGAAAATACTCATACCTTTGCAAGGCCAAAATCTGCAAGTTTTAGTGACCCATAAGTATCCACCAACAACAACAGATCTGAGAAGGATGATGGATTATATTTAAGAAAAGCCAAAATGACTGAGAAATAACATCTGAGCACGAAACATTGAACTGAGAAATAAACATAAAGAAAATAGAGAGAAACCTCTGACATTAAAGGCTGAGCCGCGTAGCTGTGGACGGCGGTGGTGGTGGCTGATAGCTGTAGCCACTAGTACAAAACTTGGAATAGACGCCCACTTTACAAGACACCTACACAATGAAGGTGCCTCAGAAAAGAAATTGTAAAACTTTCCGTGTCACCAATCAAGTAAAGGTGCCTCAGAAAAAATATTATTAAAATAATAATAGGGGAATCTGAAGCACCAACTGTAAAGAGGTGCCGCGAATATTAAATTAATAAAATAATAATATGGGTATTCGCGGCACCTTCTGTAGTAGGTGCCCCGAATATTTTATTATTAAAATAATAAAAATTGAATCCGCGGCACCCTTCAAACGACAGTGCCGCGTTTTTATTTTTGTATTTATTTTATTTTTTTTGTTCTTTCTTGTAGACGACCCAAATCTCCCAAATCTCACAATCCCCAAGTTAGACGAACATCTCCGCTCCTCCGCCTCCGTCCATTGCGTCTCCACCGTCGGTCCAACCGCCTCTCGTCGTCTCCTCGCCGCCAACTGCGCGCCTCCTCGCCAACAGCCACTGCAACGCCGTCCGTCAGCCACACCGCCGACGCAGCCACCATTGCCGGCGACTGAAGGTAATTTTGATTTAATGTTAAAATAGCTTTCTGCACCTTTGGTTCACTTCTTGCTTGCTTCACTTCGCTCTTGATGATGCATGAAACCCATTGTCAATGGAGAGAGATAGATAGATACTCGTGGGTAGAGAAAGACAAACAGAAACATGTATTCTTCCTCCTAAAGATCTGAGTCCATTTGGTCATTAAAAAACCTAACAAGGTATGTTCACTTATTTTTGCCACATTCTGTGCTTCTGCTTCCTAACAGATCAGGGACTCATCATATGGCCTCCTAAAATAAAATTAGACCCTACAGATTCTGCAGGTGCACAGCTTCAATTCCAGCTTCAATAATGCTAAAATTAGCAAAGAAGCTTGATCCCAGAGCAGGATATTTTCTGTTTTCTGGTAAGATTGAGGTTCTTTGTCATGTTCTACTGATTCTGGGAGATTGGAATTGGTTCCTGGCAAACTTGTCCTGGAGGTTTTAGGGTTACACTGTAGAATGTTCCATGAACTGTAAGAGAGGGCATTGATACATTATAGAATGTTCCATGAATTCAGAGACTTATATTACATACAATTAATATTAGATTCATTGGTAGCAGCAACTATTTCCAAAGAAGTCACACAATCTGAAAATTTATGATGTGGTTAATAGGATTAGTATTAGTATTTTGCTTACAGATGACAAGAAATAATTTTTGTCAAGAGTAAAACTGTCTCTCAAACATATAGGGACTTCCACTATTAATTAATCTATTATTCTAATAAATAGATGATTCCTTCATCTGGATGTGGTTTTCCAACTGCAGAGAAGATGTGAATCTTCTGATCGATTTGTTTTCCAAAGTATTTCCAACCTTCATCAATTAGTCCAGAATGCTTACAGGTCGAGAGAACAACTGTAAAAGTTATAGCGTAGGTCATGGTTTTGCAGAAGATGCATTTGTATCCACAGCTCTAATTGACATGTATAGCAAATGTGGCAGTATAAAAAATGCCTACAAGGTTTTCCAGAGAATTCAGAACAAAATTCTAGCTTCTTGGAATTCCATGCTTATTGTTATATATTTTTTGTAGGAATTGTAGTAAATCAAATTTCTATGAATTCCTATCCTTTTGCGCGAAATTTCAGTGAGCTGCCGATTTGTTTTTGAATTTTGAGTGTCAATCTCGCTAATTTAGTTGGAATTGTGTTTCTTCTATATAATCTGTATGCTTAAATTAAATTATTCTCCTATGAATTGGTGCTGTGTGGTTTGAAAGTCATAGTAATACTGACTGATGATATCATTTCAGAGAAGTCAGGAGAAAAGCATAAAAGTAAAAGCCACAAGCATAAGGATTCCTCAGTGAGTTCTCTTTCTATTCCTATCTTTACAAAAGTTCAGCATTAAACATGTTTGCAGTTGAAATGAGCCGAAAATAAACTCCCTACTTGCCTTGCATTTTCTGTTTATCATACTAATTTTGTAGACCATAAACATATGAGTCATTCTATTGGATAAAAATGTTAGACCCATCACCTGCTTTCAGTTTGATTGAAAATGAAATTTTGATAGGTTAATACTAGAAATTACTCTCTACTCGGTTAGAGTCATATTTAATTTAATTTGTAGAATTTGATTCTTACTTAAAATGACCTGACTCTGAACTATTTAATATGTTGTTCGAATACAAAAGTCATTTTCTAACATTACAGTTACTTTAATGTTTTGCTTATCAAGTGTTATACATGGGGTATAAAAATAATAATAATAATTTGCTTTGTTTCTTGGTGATTGTTTTCTTAGTTTGCTTTAGAAGGAAACTTCTTATATCAAGAATTATGTCTATTCTGTTTTACACATAGCTAACGCGTTGATTTTTGTGGTACATGTGCTTTTGCAGTTAATACTCTTTGCATCTTATTCTAGCAAGGATTAAAAAACGCTTCGAGTGCAGGTATCAGGCTGCCCAGTTCAGTGACCAACTGTTTATGCAGGTTTAACCCTATAAACTGCTTTGAATCTTCAACAAACTCTCTAAAACCTCCTTAAATCTTGTATGATGAATTGGTTAGAAACTAGAATTGTTTTAGATATGACAGAATAAAAAATCAGTGATAATCGTAAGCAAGCAGGGGGAATCAATTGGTTTGCTTTGATGTGCATGCTATTCAGTTTATTTTACATCTCAATGGAATAATTAGTTAATTACAAAACAAACACATTGTCCGCTTGGCAGACCAGTAGAACTTACTACAGCTAAAACTTTGACATTTATGAAAATTGAAGTCACTTTATTTACCCTCACAGGGCTGTAAGAAAGATTTCATGGTACTTGGGGTGTCAACTTCAAAAACAAAAGCCTGCATTTCAATTACAGTGATCAAACTTGAGAAGAAAGATTTTTACTAAAAGTTCAAGGCATCATTCAGTAGCTGTCACCACACCCTGGATTGAAATTTTATGCATAATTTAGAAAAACAAAAACAAAAACAAAAATAGTTTTAATTAAGAGAGAAACTATTTATTATGTTAGAAACTAGAATTGGTTATAGTGGCAAGCATAACTCATTCTATATGCTCAAAACTGAAATTTGTTTTTCATTTGATGTGTAGGTATGCCAAGATCCAAAAGGTTCATGGATAAGAGTCGGCCAATATCTCATCAGCAATCTTCTTCATCAATACACGAGCAATTGTTGAATGATGCACCACTTGAAGAACAAACACAGGATAAAGAGATCAAGTTTACAACTAAATAACTTTGTTCCATTTCTTTTCAATGCTCATTAGCTGTATGAATATAGCTAACTTAACTTTCCTGCAGGCAATGGCCTGAGGATTGCAAGGAAGCCGTGTCGACTTTGATGTTTGCAGCAGCCAGCAAGAATTGCGCTATCTGAGAAGTGAACCATATTTGCTGAGAGATATGGCAATGCCCTCGATTGTTTCGTTAACAAAGAGGTAGCTATATATATATGGCTTGAATTGAATCAAAGCAGCAGTAGTTGAAAATGAAATTTTAATTCTCCCATTTGTTTTAATTTATTGTTCTTTGCATGCATTCTGAAATGAATTAATGTTGTACGTTTTCCCTAGTTTGTTGAAAAGCTCAAGTCTGGGAGACCATCCAAAGATAAGAAGCATCAGTTGATGCAAGATATAGATAGCATCTAAGTGGGGTATAGACTGGAATTCAAAGGCCTTGGAACACAAGTTGTATAAACCACCTGCAATTGAGCAAGTAAGCTTTTTGACAAGTTTCATGTCAATTTCATGTCTAGACTAGAGATGATGCATTTATTGTCATTTTTCTCTGCAAATTGGGTGATTTGCGGACTCGTTCATGAATGGCAATGATCAAGCATACAAGTTAGGTTATTTGGTTATTTGGTCTTTTGTTGCTTAGGCCAATTTTGGCCCTTATGATTGTAAGGCATTTGCCATTGTTTTCTTTAAGCCATGGGTCACTTTTGGACCTATGGCATCTCTTGTAAAGGCCTTGTGCCTCTTTTGTGTGGAATAAAGTTCAAGTTTGGAAAAAAAATGTCCTTTTGGCTGTAATTTTTCTCTCTCTCTCTCTCTCTCTCTCTCTCTCTATATATATATATATATATATATATATATATATATATATATATATATTATTTTATTTTTTTTTAATGGTAACTTTCTGAGGCACCCACTTGTAAGTGGGTGTCTTGAAAACAAATTAATAAAATAATAATAAAGAACTATTCGAGGCACCCACTTGTAAGTGGGTGTCTTGGAAACAAATTAATAAAATAATAATAAAGGACTATCCGAGGCACCTGCAGGGGAGCATGTGCCTTGGAAAGTCCGTATTAAAAAATAAAAAAAAATCATTTTTTGCTTTCCGAGTCACCCTTTACGGGTGACTCGGAAAGCGGAGGACTATCACAGTCTCCAAGATCTGAGTCACCTGTACAGGTGACTCGGAAAGTGTTTTATGGGAGACTCTAAAACCTTTTTTTGTACTAGTGAGCGTCGCAGGGGAGCTGGAGGAGGGAACGACGAAGAAGATCGGAAGGGTAGGAGGTGGAGACGGCGTTGGCGGCTGCAGATCGACGGCACGCTGGTCCGAAACGACGAAGCTGTGGTGGGGTGTCGGCTGTGGCGTCGGCGGCTGTGGCGGTGTGCGACGACAGAATAGATGGTGGTGGTGTGCGATGAGACGATCGAAGCAGACAGTGGATCGGAGCAGAGGGATGAAGATTTTAGACGGTGGGTGTTGAAGCGGTGAGACGATTTCGATCTGATCTAGGCGTGTGGTAGATCTAGGGTTAATATTAGACAACTATTTTTATTAAAAATAATAGAAATGATTGTCTATTATAAAACAAGTTCTATTTTAAGGCAACCATTTCTATAGAAACGGTTGCCTATTATAAATTAATTGTTTTTAAAATAAATAAAAAATATAATGGCCAACCATTACAGTTAACAACGGTGGCAGATTATTGATCACTTATTTACAAAATTGCCACTATGAATTTTTGGGTTAAGATTAGGCAACCATTTTTCCAACAATGGTGGCTTATGGTCAATCTTCTATGTTTAATTTTGTACTAGTGTTTGATAAGGGATGGCAGCACACGTGACAAGGAAGGTGGTGAAGCTCACCTACCAGTTGAAGGAGACAACACAGAGGGCATTAGTGTAATCTCTCAATAAAGTGTTTCTTATAACAGTTTATGCCCCCTGTATATAAACCTCCATGTAAAAGCTCTGAACAGTATCTTTTATAATATCTTCGTTTCTGCTTTCCTCTCACATCTCTCATGTAACCACTCTGCGTCATGGTTTCAGAGCTGCGCTCTTACGCCGCCGCCCTCACAGGCACCGGAGCTGATACTCCGATCATTCAACCACCGATCCATACTCCTTCCATGGCGATTCCACAGAAGAACTCGTCATCGCGAACACACAGAAACCTTAGCGCAGAGGAGCTGGAGAATCCTCTTCGTCTTGGAATCAATGAAAGCCCGAGTGCAGTACTCGTTGGTCTACCGCTAGCAGGGAGCTCAAATTATGGAACGTGGAATATCTCTATGCGGATAGCACTTGAAGTGAAGAACAAGTGGAGTCTCGTAGACGGAAGTCTCACGCCGCCGAACAGAGATCAGCATCAACATGTTGCTTGGAGACGTTGCAACTTGCTGGTGTGTTCGTGGCTTTTCCAGTCTGTTCAACCTTCTATAGCGCAAAGCGTCATGCACTTAGATAATGCGAAAGACGTTTGGGAGGATCTGAGAAGGAAGTTAGCACAACGTGATGCTCAACGGATCTCCATGCTAAAGTGAGATATACGGTCTGAAACCAGGAACGGTGAGCGTGAACGACTACTACACTACAAGCCGGACCTTGTGGGAGGAGATGAATACACTCAGACCGATTCCTCACTGCAAGTGTGATCCACGGTGCAAATGTGATCTCATTGATCAGATACGATCAGAGCGAGACACTGACCATGTGATCAGGTTCTTACAAGGACTTAATGACGATTATAATGGTTTAAAAGTCTAACATGCTTGTGTTAGATCCACTGCCTGAGGTTTACAGAGTCTTTGTTATGGCTGAAAAATTGGAGAGACAGATTACTTTGAATAAACTGAACTTAGGAAACACAGATGTTAGCCATGCTAATGCTGTTGGGAAGACTAATGACTCTGATGAATTAATGGCTGCATCTCTGAACTCTTACAATGGCAAACAAGGTGGCAATGCAAAGGCAAAGTGTACATTCCGTGGAATGACGGGGCATACCGTGGACAAATGCTACAAGAAGCACGGGTATCCCCCGGGATGGATACCAGGGCTCAAATCAAAAGGCAAGCAACCTCAAAATACTGCAGCGGTGATAGGGGATCTGGGAATAAGTTCAAAATTGTTGCAGAAGATTATTTCCATCTTGCAACCTCAAGCCAATCAGTCTTCCAATTCAACCAGTGCTTCTGTGTCCCTAGTTCCCAACTTTAAAGAACTGCAATCTGATAATAAAGGCAAGTATTCTATCACCCTTGTCAATTCATTCTCTACGTGTGAATCTTCTTGGATTCTTGATTCAGGAGCAACGAATCATATAATTTGTTCCATGGATTTCTTTGTTGATTATCATGAGGTATCTGGAACCAAAGTTAATTTATCCACTGGCCAAACCATTGAGTTTCAACACACAGGAAATGTAAAGCTAAATGACAATCTGTGGCTCAAAGAGGCTTTACACATCCCTTCCTTTAAATTCAATATTATCTCAGTCAGCAAGCTTATACAAGACACAAATTGCAATATGATTTTTATGCCTGTCCAGTGTCTAATTCAGGAGAAGAATGGAGTGATGGGTGGTATAGCTAAAGAGGACAGAGGTCTATATTTCCTGATGAAGTCACCGAGGCTGCATTTTCTATCTCAATGTAATGGGAGTGAATTGTGGCACCAAAGATTGGGTCACTTCCCTTTCAATAAACTACATTTGTTTAAAGATGTTGATATTTCTGCTAATAAGAGTACAACATGTGACATATGTCACTTCGCAAAACACAAGCGTTCTCCCTTTCCTTTGAGCACTACATCTTCCAAATCTTATTTTGAACGCATACACATCGATATATGGGGGCCTTTTCCAATAAAGTCGTTGAAAGGGGAACGATACTTCCTAACGATAGTCGATGATTTTTCCAGATTTACTTGGATTCATCTAATGCAGAATAAGTCAGAAGCAAGGCAGCTTGTAAAGAAGTTCCACTCCTATGTCTTCACTCAATTCGGAGTGCTAATCAAGGTTATTCGAAGTGATAATGGCTCCGAATTCAACATGACAGATTTTTTTTTTCAGAAAAAGGAATTGTTCATCAGCGTTCTTGTGTGCACACCCCACAGCAAAATGCCATTGTTGAGCGAAAACATCAGCATGTCCTTAATGTTGCAAGATCTTTACGGTTTCAAGCCCACTTGCCGTTGAAATTCTGGGGACACTGCATTATGCATGCCACATACATAATAAACAGATTGCCCTCACCTGTTATTGAAGGCATGAGCCCTTACCAGAATCTGTATAACAAGGTTCAAGACATTAGCAGCTTCAAACTCTTCGGCTGTCTTTGCTATGCTACCACGATAGCTCATGCAAGGCACAAGATGGCCCCGAGAGCAAGGAAGTGTATATTCATAGTTCCGGCTGATATCAAAGGCTATATCCTTTATGATATAGAAGAGAAATCCACACTGGTTTCACGAGACGTGTTGAGGATAACTATGAAGAGAGCAATGTGAAGACATATAAGAACAAAGAAACAGATCCTTTGCAAACCTTGGGAGGTCCAATGAAGAGAGCAATGGCGAAGATATTTCATGAAGCTTTGAATGGCCTTATTAAAGGAGTAAGTGAAGCTAATCAAGAATATGAAGATGCAGTTGAATGGAAGGTGGTCAATCTTATTCATGCATAATTTGAAGAATAAAGATCGAGTGGAGGTTCATACCTTATAAATCGACACTTGGAGTTTTTTTTCTTGCAAATAAAAGTTTAAGACTATTTTAGACCGTCCCTATGCTATTTAATTTGTAAAGTCCATATTAGGCTTATAAATCCTAAATTCAATTAGAATTTAGTTTTTTATAAAACCTATTTGACTTAGTTGTCCTAGTCTTGTGGCTAGTTGCATCTTTTAAGCTAGTATAGCTCATTTTGAACTTAAACGCCATTGATGTAGGGGCTTGCTAAAGTGTATAAATAGCCTTGCTATCAATTTGTTTGACAGACAACTTTGATAGTAGTAAATTCAAGAATATTGCTATGGCAATTTCTTTTCATTGAGTTTTTGAGGAGTATTTTGACTTATCTTGGGATTTATCTCCTAAGTGGTGTCAACTCTTATCTCCATCCTTGGAGTGGCGAGCCTTCACACCACCACCTTCCTTTTCCTTTGCTTCCATCGCCCAACCATCTTTCTTTCTTGACCGAAGCCCACAACAATTTTGGTATCAAAGCTTTGGAGTCAAATCCTTATATGAACAGGTTAAAATCATTCCCAGAAATTTTGAGCTTGTTCCAAGTGTCATATACGAACTTCATTCCTATATTCTACTATATGATCTTGTTCCCATCTTTCTATTTGGTTTAATCCATAATTGTTTTGCATTAATTAGTAACTATCCCAAACAAGCATAGATTCTGCAGAAATTTTTCAGTCTGCCCAGTTAGAGAAAAAAATTCCAAAAAAATACTTCCGGGTGTCCTTTTTCCTTGAAAACATTTGTGGACATAGCCAACCTATTGTTCTTTCTGACCAAAAAAAAATTTTGTCAAAATATTATTCTCAGAAATACAAAAAAATCTGTGAATCCACCCTACTGAATGAAAATTTCTGTGTATTGTCTACTGTATTCTATACTGTCTTATGATTGATATCACCTCAATTAGCTGCTAGTATTGTTAAAAAAAAAAGTCAAGGAAAGAAGATTGAAAAAAAAAAACAAAAAAAGGTGAGAAGCAGCATTTGAAATTCCTTGTCTCATGTTGATTATTTGTTTTTTTTCAAATATTAACCTTTCTGTGAGTTTAGCCATTTTGGGTTAAGTTTCTTGACATAGTCCTAAACTCCGAAAGAACTCCACAGTACAAGACTTGTTTTACTACTTGAGTGAATTTTATTTGTGAGATCATTATAGCGTTTTATTATATACGAGTGGTAAAATAACGAGTGATCACCCCATTAAAGAGTGCAAGTGCGGGAGTGACGTGAGGTCCAATTCTCATACTTCGGGCGGGTTAGGAAAATGTCGGGTCCTAGTGAGATTGATGAGCAAGAATTAACTCTTGACATGCGCCTCATGATGAGTGCCATTAAGGGACAATTTTCTAAAATGACCGATGTGATTGAGGGGTTAAACGGTCGAATAGAGAGGATGGAGGGAGATAGGAGACCAAATCAGCAAAATGAAGGTCAAAATGAGAGGCAAAATGAGAGGCAAAATGAGAGAAGGGAAGAAGGCAGTACAAGTGATGGAGAAGAATATGATAAGAGAAGAAGAGGTAATAGAGGATATAGGAGGGATAGAAATGAGGAAGACGATGACATTGGAAACATTAATTCACATATTCCTAATTTTACAGGTAAGAGAGATCCTGATGTTTATATTTAGAATGGGAGAGGAAGGTAGACAGAATTTTTGATTGCCATAACTACTCTAAAAGAAAAAAAACTTAAGATAGTAATACTAGAATTTAGTGATTTTGCAACTCTTTGGTGGGATAAAGAGGTGTTGGATAGGAGAAGGGGTGGGGATAGGGAGGTAAGGAGTTGGAGAGAAATGAAGGTGTTGATGAGAAGGAAATGGGTCCCTGCTTCATACCAACGAGAATTACATCAACAATTACAAGAACTTGTACAAGGCAGAATGTCTGTAGCTGAGTATGACTATGAGGAGCAGAAACTCTTGACAAAACTTGGAATTACTGAAGAGCCTGAAACTACTATTTCTAGGTTTATCAAAGGGTTGAATTGGGACATCTAAGATGAAATTGAAATGTGTGACTACTTGGATTATGAAGAGATGGTTCAAAAGGCCATCCAAGTTGAAAAAAAAAAAACATAAGAAAAAGAAACTAAGGGCTCAGAACTGGAGGTTAAGCAAAGAAGTGAAAAGAGACTTTAAGCCCAAAAGAGAAGCGGGCAAGTCTATTAACAAGGGTAAAGACAAAGTTGATATTGCTACCAACCAGACTAGCAACACCAAATATTTTAGATGGCAAGGTAGAGGCCACATAGCTAAAGATTGTCCTAACAAAAGAAATGTGATTTTGCTTGATTCAAGGGAATTTGAGACGGATCCAGAATCTAAGAAATCTCGAGCTCCTAGTGGAAATGAAGATGAAATTCTAAGTCCCGCTGAAGGAGATATGTTGATGGTGAGAATATTGTTGAACTTGCAAGCTAGAGGTGAAGAAGAGCAAAGAGAAAACATATTTCACACTAGATGTCACATTGATAGCAAAGTGTGTAAACTTATAATTGACGGGGGCAGTTGTACTAATGTAGCTAGTACTGAACTAGTTACAAAACTAGGATTGAATACTATTGAGCATCCTATGCCATACTCTCTAGCTAAACAAAAATAGAGAAATAATGGTTGACAAGCAGGTGCTAGTTCCGCTCTCCATTGGAAGGTATACTGATGAGCTCTCCATTGGAAGGTATACTGATGAGATTTTATGTGATGTAGTCCCCATGCAGGCTGCAGATGTGCTCTTAGGGAGGCTTTGGAAATTCGATAAGAAGACCATCCATGAAGGTTTTAGTAA